ACACACACACACCGCTGCCTCGGCTCAAGCTGCGCTTCGCCTGGGCCCGCGGCCGCCGTCCTCGCGATGGCCACCGCTGGGCCTGCTGCGCGTGCCGACGCTGGCAGCGCTGATGCGGCGCGCCGCAGGGCCCTCGAGTCGGCCCGCGGCGCCCTCCTGGCGGCCCACGCCGCCAGCGGCCTCGCAGTCGAGGCGGCGTCTCCAAGCGGGACCCGCCTCCTGCGTGCGGCCGAGGGCCTGCTCCGCGCGGCCATCGTGGCCCTTGGCGCGAGGGCTGCGCCCGCCCCCCCGGCACCGGCTGCCGCGGGCCGCCTTGGGCGGCGCCGCCGGCCGCGCGGCCGCGCGGGGCGCGGCGCGGGGGCCCCGCCTGGCGCCCCTCGGGCCCACGACGGCGACGAGCAGGAGCAGAAGGGAGGAGCTGGAGGAGCGGCAGGCGCAGCGGCTGCGCAGGGCGGGGCCCCTGGCGCGGACGCTGCGGAGCGGGCTCGGCGGCGGCGACGCCGCAGGCGGCCCCCGCGCGCGCTGACGGCGGGCCCTCCCGGTGGCGACGGTGCGGCGGCGGCCGACGACGACGCCTCCATGGAGGACGACTCCTGGGCGGATGGGGGGCGCCCAGCAGCGGCAGGCCTTGCGGTGGCCGCGGCGGGCGTGCCGCCCATTCGCGAGGCGGTGGCGGCCGTGGACGGCGGCGACGGCGCTGGTGGGCAGCGCACGGGCCTCGCGCTCGTGCAGGTGCCCGTCGAAGTCGGCGACGCCCGCGATGACGAGAGCGTGGGCGCGATGCACGTCGGCGTGCAGAGCGCCAGGCCGTCCCCGCCTGCGCTGGGGCCAGGCGCGCGTGCCGCCCTGCCCGCAGGCCTGCGGGCGCGGGTCCGCGGCACGGGCACGGCTCTGGACGGAACAGCGGCGGAGGTGATCTGGGACGCCACGGACCAGGGCATGGACGTCGCGATCGACCCTGACGGCACGGGCGCGGTCTTCAGGGTTCCTCGCTCCCTCCTGGAGCCCCTGGGCCCCAGCGCTGGTGCAGGCTGCAGCGGCGGCGATGGCTGAGCCTGGCCATTGCAAGGCAGGCGCGGTGGTGCTCCTCCTCGAGTCGAGCTCTAGGCGTTTTTCCTTGTACAATTTTGTTTCCCGCCAGTTATCCGTGCGATGCTGGGCGGATGCCCCTTCGTGCCAGGACGGCGTCCCTGGTAGACGTTGGGATGCCTGTCGTGCTGGGGCGCGGTCCCCAATAGACGGCAGTAGGGCTTCGCTTGGCCGTACAAGCACGTGCGCACTACGCATTATTTGATGCCTTGTATATCGATTCGCTTCGCGATTTGATTATAAGAGTGTGCCTGGCCTCAGTGGCCTCCCGTTGGTACAGGCCACGGTCAGTTGCTCAGATGCTGCTGGACGTGCGCTCTTGATGGCCCGACACACACACACACGCACACACGCACGCACACACACACACGCACACACACACACACGCACACACACACACAGCACGCACAGCACGCACAGCACGCACAGCACGCACAGCACGCACAGCACGCACAGCACGCACAGCACGCACAGCACGCACAGCACGCACAGCACGCACAGCACGCACGCACGCACGCACGCACGCACGCACGCACGCACGCACGCACGCACGCACACGCACACGCACACGCACACGCACACGCACACGCACACGCACACGCAAACACACACACACACACACGCGCGCGCGAGCACACACACACACAAATGCACACACGCACACGCGCACACACGCAAACACTCACACACGCACACACGCACACACGCACACACGCACTCGCACATACCACACACTCACACACTACACACACACACACACACACACACACACACACACACACACACACACACACACACACACACA